TTTTTGAGGAATTTATCGGCAAACTCGAAGACAAAAAGTCGACCTTAATTTGCTACATACTATTTGGATTTTGTGCGGTTGAACTTGGTTCTAAATTTTGCAGTTTAATCAGGATCCTGACAATATCTGATGAATAATTCCGCAAATATTACATAACACCAGTTGCAACTTAAGTTATCTGAAATGCTTTCTGCCGAATAAATTTTTTTCCAAGGCATTTGATCCGTAAACAGCAAATTATTACATATAAGAACTTAAGGTGCATTTTTCTAAAAAAAATTGTTATGTAAGACATCGAAATTTTCACACCGTTGTTTAGATAATTATCACTGTCATCAATTTCGAACGAAAAAATATGCGTTGTCATTTAAAAAAAAAATAATTATGTCATCACTGCCGTAAGTGGATTATCGAAAAAAAAATTTTCCACATAGCAAAGTGCCCTGGATCAAATAAAAATTGACGGGTCTCACGGTTTTTCAAAAAAAAATTGTTTAACGAAAATATGAATTTTATGCAGAACTTTTTTACCACACTGTATATAGTTCGAGCAGCCTGATCCAATTTATGTAACTATTCAAGAGAATTAATTCATCTGGAGCAGTTCGAGTCCTATAAATTTTTAGCAAATTATTTGCCAAAATAACTTTTTTAATTAACTAATATCTGGAATTTCTAATCACAATTTTAAGCATTATTTGTAACTAGATATTATAACAGATTTTAGTTATTAGTTTTGTTTATGCATATCTATTTAGTGGATGAGCTTGACAATACTGAAGGAATTATTAATAAACATGCAAAAGCAGTGTTGCTTTTATACGCTTTTATCATTGCGATTAACATGTTCGATGCCACGTCATGCACGAGTGTCACAGGTGTTTAAGGGGCCTGAATAACCTGTTGTTAAATGCATACTACTCAGTTTGACACAGTATTTAGATTAATGTGCGTGTACCGGCACCTGAGTGAGGTATTTTTGATACATTTTGCCAAATGTAACTTTGAGATCTAGGTGGCATGAGTGAAATGCATCGGCATTGAACATGTTCATTAAAATGTTCTAAAAATTACTTTTGACCCTGGATTTTAAATTTTCACTTCAACTAAACTATTATTTCTTATGAATTAAAGTACCTTTAATATCAGTGGTTTTTCGAAGTGAGATAAGGAAATTTTACCCGGTCCTGAAGTTTCTTTAATACGTAATGTTTCCAAACGGTTCTTTATTTCAGTAACCAATAAATTCCATTCTCTTAGTCCCTTGAAACTCACTAAATTTATCTTACACCAATTTTGTTCCGCCTGCCAATTTCCAAGTTGATTGTCCCTTTTATATGTTTGCCAAACCTAAAGAAAAATTTTGCAGTTAGAATGTGGGAAATTATATGTAATTTTTGTAATGCAAAATGACTATTAGAACATACTCGGTACAGATTCAGGAGTGCAATGAGATCACTTGAAGATCCGTCAGCCCACATTAATAGTTTTCTGTATGCATTAAATTTCTGTTGGAATGGAATTGAGAAAATATTTTGAATTGAACATCCAGCAGCTGTAAAAGAAAGTATTTGTTAATAATTTATTAGTACATATTGTCGCAGCTTCACCTCAATTTTTTTTTATTATAATTACAGTTCATTTTAAAATATATAAAATAAATTTTCTTTTCTCTTCATTTGTTGCAACAACATGATTGTTTCTATTTTATTCAATTAAATACGAAAATCTTTTTTTAAGTATCGTTTTTTGTTGGAGATGGTTTTTGTGTGTAATTCAGTTTATTCGAAAGACTCGACCTAGAAACAAGTGCGTGTTTGATTCCTATTGCAACTCCATGATAAATAGACAGCCGTTTCAAATTCAGGACATCAGAAGGGCCCCTCAAGAACCTAGTGAATTTCAACAGTGGTAAGCCATCTCCAACCATTTTTTTTGCTTATCTAACCGTTCATACAGTACACCACTTTTAATAAGTGCAAGTGCGAATTATGTCGACACACTTTGAGAGGTAATTCTTTAAATGATTCTATGACAAAATGTTATATAAATTTACAGCGACAATTTAATATATAACATATAGTAGAAACAACTATTAATTTGAATAAATATATAAAATTATTGAAATAACCAACATAATTCATATAACAAGGTAAGTTTGCTTCAATTTACTTTGTTAATCCTCACTATATGCTAATCTGTTAGTTGTTTATACAGGGTCGGAAAGTCCCCATGGTTCATCGGGACTTACGTAANTACTTAAAATTTGCCTTACAGGGAAAGAAAGATGAATGTCCCGCCAGTGTGTGAAAAACAGATGAATGTCCAACTTGTAACTAGCACGTGTTCTGATGTTGCTCCTGTTAGATTTAGTTTGTCGATTAAACGCCTATACAAACGGGACAAGGCCATCAGAATAGAACACAGAGATCCAAAATGCAAGGGACAAGTCCAATCTAATCGTAGTTATTAATTGTGAGAATTAGAAAATTTTCCAAGCATGGAATGACCATTTATCAAATTACTTTGTTAAAAAACGTCCATTTGAAAGTAGGCCTATCAGAGGAATTAAAAGGAAATGTCAAAAATGATGCAGTATCGAGAGACATAATATAATGGACCTATGTCTATGTCAGTACTCAATAGTAGTACCACCAAAACGGAAACAAGACATTTTTGGAATCCTTCCTGAAGGTCAATTTGTAATGCCTAGTTTGAAATACAAACAACCCATTGCGATTGCTCTGAAAAAATACCAAACTTACAAGAACTGAAAAAATTTGTAGTAGCTAGCGCAACATTATTTTGAGGATTTACCATACGACAAGACACCAACTTAAACTGTGGTGTTGAAGCATCATATAAATGACACTTCTTTTATTTTACGTTGTATTTTTATTCAAGTAGGTTTCCTTTTTACTTATAATAAAAAGTTACCTATTAAAATTCACATTGCTACTCGAATTGTTTTCTGATTCTTTCTCCCTAAGTGATGACATTCATCTTTTTTCTCACATTTTTTGATAGCACGTATTAATTATTGTTATTTTTTTTTAAGTTTCTGCTGGCTCAAATCTACAATATTACATATTATATATTCGTAGATACATATAATTTTATTTCAAAAAATAACTAAAAGATGTATGATGTTTTTTAAAATATCAGTCTTTGAAACTTAAATTTCATTTAACTCCAGACTTGTATTATGTGACATTCATCTTTTTTCCCCTGTACCCTTCAATTAATATGAATTTTCCAAAAATATCGATTTTTCCAAATAAAAAATTCTCCAAGTTTGGACTATGAAGAATATCCTGTATTATATTATTTTGATATTCCAAGAACTGTAAAAGTTATGGGTGATTTACCGAGAAGCTGACGAGCAACCAAAATCCTAAGCCCATCATTTTTCTACCAAATTTCAAATGCGATTTTTTTGGAACACACTGTTCAAAGACGATTCCCAAAATATATAGAAAACAGCTCGATCACTTGTTTATTTTTTTTTATCAAGCCAGAAAGGTTGGAAGTTAAGATTAAAAAATGAATGTAAAGTTCAATCGGCCGCAATTTCGTGAAATTTTTTTTATTTTTTTTAATTCTGTTGCATAAGGCATCAAACATTACATTTTGAGATTCTTTTTGAAAGGACCCTGCACAAACCTTATGGGTTTGAGTTCCTGGTCGATTTGTCAGAATTTTTGATATGACACCCCCTGATCAAGTGTTCATAGGCCCAAAGTCCAGAAATGAACAGTTTTCGAGATATCGAGGCCGCAGTCCAAAAAATGGAATATTTCCATGAGCCTGAAAATGGAAACGAGCACTTTTGAAAATTATTATTATCCATTCTTGTATTATTTATCGGGTTTGGATCAATTTCAGTATTCATATGTATCTGGAATAGGAATCAGTACAATTCCACCCTCGAGACACCCCCAAAATAAGGGTTGAAAAACTAAAATATTTATATGTCAGGTTGTTACTATATTATTCACTTATTTTTTTTATGAATCATTCTATACAGCGTGTGGAAAATTCAGTTAACCAACTGGGAACCAAGGACATTTTTTTATGCCAGCCATGACAGTAGCACTCCCAATCCATATATATAATTTATAGAGAAATTTGCCAACATACCTCAATATTAAACTTTAAAATAAAACAAACCTGGACAAATTCGGACACATAGTTTTTGAGATAATAATTCCTAAAGTTATTTTTACTATTTCTTCTGCTGTTTACTCAGATGTTCCCCCTTAAATAGACCAAGAATCATACATAATCATTATTTACCTATAATAATGGTTTCTTCAAGACAACTAAACAACTGTCCTAATATAATGAGCTTTGTCAGCCTTACATCAATAGGTAACTTTGACATTACTTTTCCTAAGAAGGTTAGGTCGCCATCAGAAGTGGACTGGATACCTCGACAAGTTTGTAATAATGCACCCATCTGCAACAGAAAATGTCTAGTATATTGACTAACTTTAAATTAGAACACTTAAAAAGTTTTTTGGGAAGCTATATGTTTTATTACAATTATGTATTTACTTTCTCTTTACTAGGTAATTTTAATACAATAGAACCCCAATTATCCGTGATCTACGGGACCGAGCGCAGCACGGATAAATTGAAAAACACGGATAACCAAAACATTTACTTTTTACATAAGAAACGAAGCAATACATAGGTAAACATGCACAAAATCATTGAAATTGCAATTTAGGCACATTTATTTTAAGTACACTTTTTAAACATTCGATTATTTTGGTCCATATTTAACTTTTTCTGTTTTTTTTTTATTTTTCGGCGTATTTTACATAACTTTAAAATGTCGACTTACTCAAAATAGGCTAATAGAATATTTGCAACTTCTCTATACAATGTACAAGTATTAATTAAATAAGAAATTAATACATACCTCTTTGAGCGCAAGAATTGTGTTGGCAATATTTTTCAAATTTGGTGGATTTAATGCCAAAGCAAGTATTTGTGAAGGCGTGTCTTTCAAATTTAGAGTTTTGGCTTGAAGTACAACTCTTTCTAAAGGAGCATTTAGAATTTCTGGGACACTCCGTTCAGACATTTTCTCCTGAAAAGAAATTAACAGGAGGTTCTAATGTTCTCACAACGAAATATTTCATTTCACTTATTACATTTTAGTGTAATACTCGATAGTCATTATACAACATAAAAAACAGTATAGCAGAAGCACAGTTTTATTAATTAAGTACGTGTCATTTCATCGACTATCTTTAACTTTCAAATTGCAATTTTTTTTTTAATTGAAAAAAACTGAAATCAAATATTAAAAGTTGTCTGTGACGCAACACATCAGCTGTACCAGTGTAACCATAACTAATAAGATCACTCGAAAGAGTTAAATTTGACTGTTACTTCATTGTCTTTGAAGATATTGAAGTGTTAAATATCATTTATTCACAGATCTAAAAATAAACATAATGAATCATTTTTTTTCTTATGGAACATACATCTAACAGTATTAGAAAATTATTATAGGAATGTAATGTTTATTTAGTCATTTTTAGTGGCACAAAAATCTGAAATATTATATTTTTTCAGTTCGTCATTTTTCCATTATAAAATAATATAAACATGTATCATAACATTTCCACATTTTCATATAATTAATTTTTCTCAAAAACAATGGTACAAGGATACGAAGCTTTCTACCGAGTTCGCGAGGATTACTTTGTCTACCATAGTAAGGAAACTCTTACTACTTAATAAGGGATACTATTATAGATCAGGGGTCGGCAACTAATTTTAGATGGGGTCCGGATACTTTGAAAATTTTTAACGAGGTCCAGAAAAAAATTCATATTTCTTACAAATTCTTTATTTTAATTTGGACTCAAATTTAATCTGCTTACTAACCATTAAGAACTCAAAACACTCACACAATTGTAAAATACTAAAAAAAAATGATAAGGTTGGCACTCAAACGTAAAAAATCATTTTTTAAATAATTATTTAAGTAATTTATAGGTACTTTCAAAAAATTTTTGGCGGTCCAGTATTTTACCTTCGTGGTCCAGACCTGGACCGTGGTCCACCAGTTGCCGATCCCTGTTATAGATTATTGAAGATTGTTGTTGTTGTTGCGCAACAACTACAGTAACACTGACAACAATAACAATAACAAAGGCAACAACAACAACAGAAGCGGCAGCACCAAGAAGATCAGTTATAGCAATAACAACGACAATATCTAAACTAAGGCAACGATGTTGATAACTCTCTTAAATCTTAATATTTGTACGATTTCCTTCGTCGACAGTATGCATAAGGAGGATACGAAGCGTTCTACCGAGTTCACAAGGAACGGTTCGACTACTATAGTCAGGAAACTCTCACTACTTAGTAAGGCACGCTCTTATTATAGATTAAAGAAGTCTGCTTTAGTTGTTACTGTTACTGCTACTGCTGCTGTTGTCGTTGCTGTTATTGTTGTTGTTGCGCAACAACTGCAATAACACCGACAACATAACAATAGCAACAGCAACAGATGTGATTTGAAAATATATGTTTATCTGTTTAAAATAATTTGAAACAAATACATTATTAGTCAAAATCAGCTCTTTTGCAGAAAAATAGCCATTTCTTTTTCTTAAGTAAAAAATGTTAAGCATTATCTACACCATTCTAGATTGCACATTATTTGTTAGTATGACCCAGCACATTTATTCACAACATTAACCGTCAAAGTAAAGTGATCATTTGAAAGAAATAAAAAAAGGTTTGTAAGCAAATATTAGCAAAAAAACTTTGTTTTTTTGCAAAAAATAAATAACTTTGTAGATGTGGCACCCAAAACATTTTTAGGTTAATGATTTCCAAGAACTAAAAAGTGCCTAAGTATATCTTGAAAACTAAGATTTTTATGAGGCTCAAATTTACTTATTCGGCTAGCCATGGTCCAGCATTGCCGGCTAAACATTGACTTTTGAGACACCCTATATATTTCCATGGAATTTATTTAACAAATACATTTTTTTAAATTCTGCTCAATATGGGATTATTTAATTCCTTTTAGATTTATTACACTGATGGTTTCAATTGACAATAAATAAAAAAAAAACTTACATTGTAAAAAACTTCTGGCACTAGGCGATATACCCTACCATTTCCAACTCTACCTACTCTTCCCGCTCTTTGGTCACAGTTGACATGTGATGCCCATTCCAGTTTTAAGCTCGTGTACTTTGTGATTGGATCTATCGTCATAACTTTTGTTTGGCAAAAATCGATTACTGAAAAGAGTATGTTTATTAACCTTTTATTTAATGAGATTATAATCAAAACAAAATTTGACATTAGGGGAAACCCGGGCAAAGCGAATACCCCGGATAAAGAGAATACTCCTCACCACTCTCAAATAATTTGCTTACCGGTCGCCACGTTACCATAAAAACGTTCGTACGTCGGCGTAGAGTGTGTGGCAAATATATTAGTAAGTGGTCGTATCACGTGGCGTCCAGAAGGCGACGATTTGTGTTTTTGCTTGAATAATATTAATTTATCAAGGTAAGTATTTTGCTAATAACAAGAAAGTTATTTATTTATCAACTTTTGTTTTTCGGTGGTTATAATGTATCTTTATGTAGCTTTTTACATTGTGTAGAAAATCAAACCCAAAGCAGCAGTTTTTATTTGAAACGGATTAACCTCAAAATAATATTTTACATAGTAATATAGTTGTCCCCGATTTGTTGGCGTCTATTAATATTAATGTACCCGATATGAGAATGCGAACTAGATACAGACTTTTTAAAATATTTAATATTAATTCACCCCTAGAACAGTGTCTGTGTACGGTGAATAATTTGTTAAGAATATACGACATTGATATTTTTAATATTAGTCGGACTAAGCTACTCTCATACTTATGATACGTACGTGATACGATTGGGTGTTTTATGTACATTTTAACTGACATTTTTTTTATTTCCTTTCTTTGTTCTCTTTTTACATTGTATTTTGCATGTGTCTGGTTGTTTATACATTATTTTTAACTTGTTTTTTATATTAGCTAACATTCAACTGTATACATGTAATTGGACTGTTCCTTTGTATGTATGCAGTATAAATAAATAAATAAATAAATAAATAAAAAGTGATCAGATAGGGCAAAGGGAATAGGGCAAAGTGGATACCGTATTCACTTTGCCCGGTGATCGTAAATTCTTTCATTATATATAACAGTCTCCTTATTTCACCTAAACCTGGGTGTTTCAAAACTCACTACAGTCATTCGGAATTAAGACCTATATCTCAGCCAGCTAAACCAACAACAAGATAGAAGTCACAAGAAAATAAAAAAATCCAAAGATATCTTATGCTTTTTCTGCTGTGAAATATATATTGAACAAGACAGAAAACCAATCGAAGATTGGATACGATGTAATATATGTCATCAATGGTGTCATGAAGTTTTCAGCATTTGAAAGCAATGAGGATTACATTTGTGATAATTGTATTGATTAGATTTTTGAAAAAGAATGTTATTTTTATTTTTTTCGAAATGTTAAATATTACTTTATTAGTAACTTATGTTCCCAAAGATTTCTTTGTTGTTATCCACTTTGCCCTTATGGCGTATCCACTTTACCCGGAGGCTCGGGCAAGGTGGATATTTTGACATTTTTCCTTATTTGATTTATAGCAACTGTTTCAACCAGAATTAAGGAAAATTGTTAACTAATTTCGAAAGTTTATTAAAGAAAGACTAATCTCAGATAATTGTTTTAATTTTCTCCATTATACATTATCAACAATAATCATGGAAAGCTAAGGGTGTTCACTTTGCCCGGACTTCCCCTATAGCAGCAAGATTTAGAAAACATTCTCAACTTTTCTAAAGAAAGAAACTTACCATAGCAAGAATCAGGAACGGTAATGGAACTTTCAGCAATATTTGTGGAGAGAATCACTTTCCTACAACCAGGACTGGGTGGTCGGAAAACCTTTGCCTGCTCATCGTTTGGAAGAGACGAATGTAAGGGGATTATCTCCCATTTGATGGGGATTATTATTTGTTCTTCTCCATCAATTTCAACCTTTTGTGGTTGAGACCTAGACTCATTAAAATGAGTTTCGAGACGTTTGTTAGCCTCTTCTATTTCATTTATACCAGGCAGGAATACTAAGATACTTCCAATTACCTTCTCATGTGTTATGGGATCTGATACATCTAATTTATCAATAATGCAAACGAGAAATACAAATGTCTTCCAAAGCCCGTCAGAAATTTCCGGCTTATCAATGTCATACTTTGGAATCTGGAAAATATTACAATTCAAAAATAGATATTCATTGAAGACGCTGGAATCTGTATATCATTAGGGAAGTAAGTAGGTACTCTATCAATGGATATGGTAGAATGGAAGAATATCAGGAGTGAAACTTGGAAAATCTAATGAGCCTAAAGGTAGATGCAAATGTAGCTTGATGCTTGATAAGCATCCGTGAACAATCCTTTTGAGCCTTTTGATTGTGCAAGCATTAACTGAATATGTACAGGCTGTTACAAATTCGCTTCTCACTACAGGGATCTCGAAAACGGGAAGAGGTACAAAGTAGCTTAAATGGGGATCAGGGGACCAACATTATGCCTCTAAAAAATCAGGGCTAACATGATTAATTTTCGAAATATTTGAAGAAAACCGAAATTTTGGAAATCAGTTTTTGTTTCATTTCAGCCTTCTTTGAGGTGACATTGAAAAAAGAAGAACACTTTCTCATGGCCACTTTTTGCCCTCTATCGAATGGCATAATCAATTTTTATATGTAACATTTCGTCTCTCCAGGACCATCAACAACTTCATTTTTTTTAATACAACCCTAATCAATCTAATACAAATATTGGATTTCTTTGTTTATTGAATTATCGTCCACTGTAAGTGTCGTTAGACCCTGTGAAATCCATTTAGTTATTTAAACTATTGCCACCACGCGTTACAATAAAACATTTCCTATTACCATCACTTGGTCATACATAACTCAATAAGTTGTTGCGTCAAAATTAAAACACTATTACAATTTTAATTTTATTATGACAAATTAATTCTTAAAAATGCATTTGAACAACCAAAATACCAACTGAATATTATTCTTTAAAAAAATTCAGTAAATGTTCAAAAACATTTTCGTTTTGGCAAAGGTTGAAAATGAAGATCAGCGTAATATTATTGGAATTTATTATATCTGTATCGTAACTGTGAAAGAGCATGTCAGATGTATTTGTGTGAATATCCTGAAAACAGAAATCGGAATTTGTTTGAATTTTGAGCACTCGAGAAGCCTAGAAGTAACTATGGACACGTGAATAAAACCAATAATTGTGTATTTTAATGTGTGATGGTAATAGTTTAAATAACTAGATGGATTTCACAGGGTCTAACGATACTTACAGTGTATGATAATTCAATAAACAATGAAATCTAAATAAGAAATTTAGATACATTTGGAATGGATACACTGAAGATGAATTTTTCGAGACAAAATGTCTGAATCTGGTTTGGGCTGAGGCAGTACAGTAATGGGAGTCATGAAGACTTGCAAAAAATGTAATAAAATTTCTAGGGTCATATTTAAAAAAATGAAGTTGAAGATGGTCCTAGAGAGACGAAACGTTACATATAAAAATTGATATGCCATTCGATAGAGGGCAAAAAATGGTCATGAGAAAGTGTTCTTTTTTTCAATATCACCTCAAACAAGGCTGAAATTAAACAAAAATGGATTTCCAAAATTTCGGGTTTTGTCAAATATTTCGAAAACTAATCATGTTAGCCTTGATTTTTTTTTGCCTCTATTTAAGCTAGTTTGTACTCTTACCATTTTCGAGATCCCTGTAGTGAGAAGCGAATTTGTAACAGCCTGTATATAGAATCATGCTAGCCCAAGTTGCAACTATTATCATATTAACTTAATAACAACTATCAAAGCGACAATAAAGTGTTTAGCTACCAATGATCGGTACTTCCCAGATATCAAATTATTACGGTTTATTCAACAAAGTGAGAAATAATCTTCTGGTAGATAGGTGGCATCAATGTTTTTGGAACTGATCTCACCACTATTTTTGAAGTAATTAACATATTAGTGACAACTAAGAAGCAGTTAAGTCGAAGAATTTAAGTAGACAATATACATCAATCTTTTTCAATCATTAATTTAATGTCATGTCTTTATTCCATTCGTTACCTACTTTAAAGTGTCTATTTTTATAACAGCATATTTGAAACTGTCTTGTGTAAATTTTGAAATGCATTTTAGTGAAAAACTATGGAAGATTTGTATAAAAAAATAACGTAGAAATCAGACTAGTAAAAAAAAAAATTAATCACTTAAAAATTGTTGAAAACATTTGAATACTTAAATTTTTTTTGTTTTGTGCAAAATGGCTTCCACTACTCTCTTGAGTGACCAAAAAGATGGTGAACTTGGAAGGTTTTTGTTAGATTTTGGCAACATATTTTTATTTTTAAAGTGTCTGTTACTTTAATGTGCTCTCCTGTAGCATAGATTACTAACAAGTTACTATCACAAATTCCAATGTATTACTAACTTTAAAGTCACATTACAACCACCTGGTTGAGTCAAAATTACTGTTAGTTTTTAACCCTACTGAGGAAATTACTTTCAAGACATACTATTAGCCATTATTTAATAGACTTTTAAGTAACAGACTTTAAGTAAATTTGAAGTTAAGGAGTCATTTATAGAATTTGAATGCAACTTATTTCATATAACAAAATTTAACATTCTGGTGACTGTACGTCAGACAATGGCGGCTCGTGACATTGAGAATAGGTGAAGCATTTTCGATTAAAATGAAAAAAAAAAAAAAATTCAAATTTTCCAAGGTCAAATGGCTTTAATCTGGAAATTTTTAGTTGCATTTGCAATATTACCAAAAAACTGACGTTCGTGAGAAAGATTTTCATTTAGATTTTATAAAAAATAGAAATCTTAGTTCGGCTTCTGGACTTCTGTGAATATTAACGCACACCAAACATGTATGTTCGAAAGAAGCTTTGTTTGTTTGTTTGTTTATTTAATTCCAGAGATCAAGACATTGTACAACATACAATTCTTAATATAGGATGTCAGAAAATAATTAAATACAAACATTAATGTTAAAATATTCATCAACCGCGAAGGCCCAAGGGAGGAGAAATTTTTTTAATTCTTGTTTACCTTGTGTTATGTATATGAATATCTTCTTGTTTTATAAATTCATTTATGTTGTTCTTTATGTATAATGCACTGAAGTATATGTATATAGAAGGGAATGTTAATAAATTATATTTAAGGAACAGTTTTTTGCATGTAGATAAGGAATATACATGTCCATAATATAATGAGAGAAGCGTTGAATCAGCAACTATCGGTCTTAGTTGTCTAAATAAGAAGCTTAGAGTTTAATTTGTTACAGACATGGGTCACATGTAAACTCCACGATAATTTCATGTCAACATGTATCCCTAGGAATTTACATTCATCTATCACAGGCATGGACTTACCAGAATCAAATTTAATTAATGGGCTGAGCTCAGAAATTGTATTTCTTGCAAGAAATTTCATAAGATGGGATTTATCACAATTTAACTATAACTTCATCTTTTTGTTCCATTCCATTATATTTTGTAAAAGACGTTGAATCTGTTCGGTGGAACAATATAATATCGGTAACACATCTCTGTCTGCTATATCAGGCAGATCATTAATCATAATAATAAATAATACCGGGCCCAACAAACTGCCCTGTGGTACCCCACTGTTATTCAGTAAAACTTTTGATTGTGTGCCATCACTGAGATGCACACATTGCAATCTATCCTGTAAATATGATTTTAGCCAATTCAGAGCAATAACCCTAATGCCAATCTTTTCCAATTTTACAAATAAAATATTATGATCCACCATATCAAATGCAGAACTAAAGTCGAAAAAAACACCATAGGTATTATATTTATTATCTAAGCATTTCTGAAGAAATTTTATACTTTGATATAAAGCAGACTGTGTACTTTTGTTTTTAACAAATCCATGTTGATATGGTGTTACTTACGATATTATTTTTACACAAAAAATCACAAAGCTGATTATAAAAAACCTTCTCAAATATTTTTGCAAACTGATTTTGTAAAGCAATCGGTCTATAATTAGTCACTGAAGTCACATCACCTTTTTTGTAAACATTATTTGTATTATTTTAGATTGTTTTAAAACATTGGGGAGGGTTCCTGTCATCAGTGACATATTTACAAGGTGTAATAAAGGCCGTTCAATCAAGTCGAGACTAGCTTTAATAATGATACCTGGAATATCATCCATACCCCGAGAATATTCAGCTTTCATAGACGATACAATATCGTGCAGCTCGATTGCAGTAATTTCATGTAGAAAGATAGAATTTGCCAAATAACTCCCATTATATTCAGGTAAATCATTGACCCCTTTACTTATAAAATATTCATTGAATAAAGCCACATTTATAGGATTACTAATTAAATTTCCTTCATTATTTTTTAGTGTAATTAAATTATCCTTGGTTATATTATTATTTTTATAACTATTAATAATGCCCCAAGCTGCCTGTATGGCATTCGGTGATTTGTGGATAATATTATCATAGTATGATTTCTGTTTTGCATTGAGAAAATTTTTATATACCTTTTTCTCTTGTGTATAAAATTTACTGAAAATTTGTGAATTGAACTTATTATTTAGATGATATAAATCCTTCATATACATGGAGGTAATACGCATTTCTTCATCAACCCAAGTGTGCCCTCTACTCGGTATATGACAAGACTACTTGATTTTAAATGACAGATTAAAATTATATAAGAACGTATTATAAAAAGCATTAAAACATTCATTAAAGTGGTTATTCACAAATACCTCAGACCATGTTTCATATTTCAATAGATTTTTAAAAGTATTTAGGTTTTCTGGACTAAGATTTCAAAACGTTTTTTTTTTCACTTTTTGGTGACTTTAAATTTTTAGTGTACGATTTAAATAAAGTCGTTTGATAAGAATGATCGGAGGTATGAGATTGTACAACCTTAAATTCTAGTATTCTAGTAAACATTGGATATAATATTATCTATTAAAGTCGATGACGAAGTGGTTACTCTAGTAGGAGTATTAGTAATTACAGGTTTGTGGTTACAACAGCCTCCCGTGACGTTCCTAAAATTCTTAAATCCCTTCTTATTCCACATGCCCTACTTTACACCCACAATTAAACAGGGCATACATCAAAGTTTTAAATTATGATTTAAATGAACACTTCCACACAACCACTTATACTCCGAATACCAACTAAGAACCCTGATAATTGTGCACTGAGCGACGCGTATCTTATAAACTGTTTAAAGACAGGAGATGGGCGATGACAATGCTGCTTCAATTTCTGCGTCACTCGTTCCCCCACTCCGTAGTTTACTCCCGTGTTAGTCACCTCGTTGCCATGACAACCGCCATAAACAACGCTACAAAGAGAAGCAGAATACAGAATAATTTCAATCTACGTCACTTGCATATACTATATGTTGCATGGTACGAGGTTGATAGGCAATGTTTTTTAGAAGGCGTTCACCGTGCAACTATTCTGTTTATTTCTGCGTATAAAACTAACACAATACATTTTTAATATAGAATTATATCTAAATTATAAAATTTATATAAAATTAAAAATAATTTTAAATTGCACAACCAAACGGAAATAGGTGAAGCGTTGCGTCACTTTCATCACAGTAACTTTGATATTAGTATTTGTCACTATACATGTTAGTTGGGAATGGATGAAAAATGCAGTTTTGTATAATCATTTCTTACGATTGTCAAAATGAACATTGTGATTTTTTTAAAAATTGGGTACAAACACAATGATAAAAATATCTAAATTATTACAAGATCTACAAAGAGTAAACTGCTAACAATATTAAATAATCAAACCTAGATTGACATCTTTCCTGTATATGATCAGTTATATTTGTACCTACCATTAGGCACCATAAGAATTTTAGTATTTAATGGCAAAGAGAAGTAAGGAGAAAAGAGAGTTTATATCTTGATTTTAGCAAGGCCTTTGACAAAGTACCCATAAAATGTCTCTGTTCTAAAATTGAACATGTAGGTATTAGAGGTGATCTTCACAAATGAATTGTTGCGTTTTTAAACAATAGTTTTTTCCGTTTGAAAATAGGAACTGACGTCTTGGAATACTATTCTGTTAAAAGTGGAGTTCCTCAAGGCTCAGTTCTTGGCCCATTACTTTTTCTTATTTATACAGCAGATATTCCTCAAACATTGCCACTTAAATGCTCGCTGTATGCTGATGATACAAAGATTTATGGGAATCCTTTTACTGATTATAAACTATTGCAGGAAAGCTTGATTGCTGTAGCAGATTGGTGCCAAAAATGGTTAATATTGCTGAACTCCAAAAAAATAGTGTAGTGTGTAGTTTTGCACTTGGGTAAGAACAACCCAAGATTTCATGATCAAATTGGTAGCATTCCATTGTCAAAAGTGGAGAGGCAAACTGATCTTGGTGTAGTGATTTCTAATGACCTCTCTTGGTCAGCTCATATAACTGCTGCTTGCAGTAAAGCTAAACGCTCGTTATTTCTTTTCAAAAAAATATTATCTACTCCCTCGATTGAAACTACTAACTGCTTATATAAATCCTACATAAGACCCATCGTCGAGTATGGTTCAGCTGTCTGGTATCCAAATCTGATAAGAGACCAATCTCAAATTGAGTTGTTACAACGTGCCGCCACCAGACTTCCCTATGGTATTTCTCGGCCTTCTTATGAAGAAAGACTAAATATCTTAAAAACTGAATCCCAGAAATCGAAAGGCTTAAGCGTGGTAATCACCACATATAGCATTCTTCATGGCACATATTCCACAAATTTAACACATTTATATGTGTTATCTGCTCATACTCGACTTCGTGGTCACCATTACAAGCTTAGCCATCAAAATTATACTACCAGATGTAGGCAGTTTTTTTTGAGCAACCGTGTGTTTCATGACTGGAATTCTTTACCAAAAAGTGCTTCTTCTATAAATTCTTTTAAAAACAAACTTGATAATGTACTTAATTTTTAATAATTGTGTAATTGTTATTCTCTTTTAATCTGTAATATTGTACCAATAGTACTGTTTTATTTTATATTGTATGCTTATATTTTAGATTGTTTTTCAAGTTTTTTGCTCTTGAGTTTATAGGTTTTTACCTCTACTGTTATTATGTTAACAATAATAATAAAGTAAATAAGAAAAGAACATTTTCACAAAATCACGAGTTGAGTGCAGAATTATAATTAAAAACAAATTAGAAATATATATTTTATTAAGAATCTGCAAAGCAAATTTTATGTGATAAACTTGTCTTGTGAAAAAATCAAGACAGCAAAAAAAGCTATTTTTTATTTTGTAATATGTGCTTGTGATATTCCATTTTTGATGTAATACTAGGATATTTCATTTATTAAAATTTGTTATTTTCGATGATCCTATTTGAGACTCGAATAGAGGATCAGAGCAAGTGGGAGAAAAAGTTTGAGACCCTGAAAAGATGGAGACAGGTATGGTTTACTGATAGCTTCAAAACGGCTAGGGGGATGGATGCAGGAATAATTGCACTAAGACCCAGATGGAGTACAAACCACAAGTCTGGGGATAACGTATTTAGCAGAGAATGTGCGTAGAGGTTATAAATATAAAATCGCATATATATTCTCAGAAAGTCAAACACTAATGAAGGCTTTAAACACACACAAGGTAAGTTCAAAACTCATGGCAATGTTTACAAATGGTGACTAACTGCTACTAATACAGTTGGATTGTGTTGGGTGCCAGGAAATGAGAAAGCGGATTAACTTGCTAGGAAAGAATTGGAAACAGATTTCATTAGTCCAGAGCTCTTCTGTGGCACATCTCCCAATATGGTCACGGGAGCTCTGGGCAAAGAGAGTGAGTCAGAACATAGAAAATACTGGGTTTCAAGGCCAGAGCAAAGCCATGTGAAGGAACATATGGAGTATCATTTGCAGGAAAGAACAAATGAGTTGCTGAGCTTGAACAAAATTTAAGGGGATTTATAAGGGGACACTGTCATTTTACGAAACATCTATACAAGCTAAAGCTTGTAGAGTCTGGTTTGCCGAGTATCTGACTTGGTGGATTAAACTTCCTGGATAAGTGCCAAGGAAAACCCTTTCTGAGAAGTGTTGGCAAATAAACTTTTGCACTTTGTAAAAAGGACAAAGCTACTTGCTGAATAGGCTTGAACAGTGGCACGCACTATAGGCCTAGGTGCTATGGGACTTGAATAGAATCCAACCACAGGAACAAATAAAAGAATCCCTATAGAAGCTAGAGTTGGAGTACTTTCTGATACTTTACCATTAATTTTTTAACTTTAACTTTGATTAAAAATTTTGTCACTGGATTCTACACAAAAAAGCCTATAAGATAAAATGTCTACATTTCAGAAAAAACTGTTGCCACTGCAATTATCATTCAAAATTTTCATTTTTAGTATAAAATCAACAACTTTTAGTTTGATATTGATGCAATAGGATGCACACACATTATATCTGTTCAGTATCCATCACCTGCCAAAAATTTTCTTAACATATCTATAAATAGACATGCTATAAAAACTAAATTTAAACAATTGGATCAATGCAGTATTCTAGAGTTAAAATCCTTCCAAACTATTTTGTGGTTAAACAGTTCTAGTTAAATCAAGGGAGATTGTCACCTGACTAATGACTATATTAAAAATGAAAACAAAAGAGAAGTTTTATCATAATTTTTGCCAATTGAAAAATTGCACTATGAAATAATAGTAAATTTACGCAACAATTATATTCCAACTGAAATTTTAAGACTAAATCTATCTATATTCGGCGGCCGAAATTATAAAGAGTGACTAATACATAATATAAAAACCCTATTACCATAATGCGTATAAAATATAAAATGATTTCTATACGGTTCAATATTATTTATCTTTATGCCGCTCGCCATGCACATCGGTAGAATCTATAATCATGTATAGACTGAGTTAGTGAGTTACACTGAACGTCGATCTATATTTTATCTCTGTCTTTTGCACTTGGTAGGGAATAGGGAAATGCTTTTTTAGTGGGTGTAAACGGACTTGATTTATCCGTCCTGAGAAACTTCATAGCATAAGCGTAGACGAGGAGTCTAATTCCATGGATGTAATAAATTTATAAATTAAAAAAACACAACTGGGACGTTTTAAAATGCTGTAATAATTAAAATGGATCAAAGTGCCGGTTATAGCAAACCGTAAAAAATATTAGATGTTATGTTTTATTATGTTTTTTCAATATTTTATATATCTTGCTGCCTTTTACGAAGACACGCCAATGGATTTTCGTTCCCGCCACGCTTCATCCCCCTTACTAGTCCAAGAGCTAGCGATGAATCACTATCTATAATTTTGGCCGTCGAGTATAGTAGTAATTAGAAAGTACATTTTCATATAAAATATTCATATAAATATATAAAATATGAAATATAAATATATTCCATTTATTTTACTGGTAGGTACTCAAAACAATCAAATTTGACAATGTTTCAAAAAAAGTTTAAAATTCCATTATTTCTCAAAATTTAGAAAAACCTCAAAGCTTTGAGCATGTCATTTGGCATTATATTTCGAGCAAAAATAATTGACAAAACCAGATTTTTCAAAAATAAATTAATAAAAAACTTTCACAAATCCGTGATTTACAAAATATATCAATTAACTTACCGTTGTTGTAGCAGATGCTACAGCTACACTCAGTTGTTCCATATAAAAAATTGTCTTCGTGTAATTACTTTTTTTATCGATATAAATAATAGGTGCTGGAAGAAAAGTATTAAAGTTTGGACATCTGAAGTAGTGAGCAAATTCTTTTGCCTCAATAGTAGCAGACATAAGAATGACCTACAAAAAAAATTATAAATAATAATGAAAATTAAAAATTTTCTAAAGTTTTTTGAACTTGACTTCATTATTATGAGCACCTACATATTATTTTTCAGAACCTTTAATAGCATGGCTCAGAGTGGGGCTAATCACCGAGATACAATCTGGATTTTTCTTTAATTTTTCATAAAATTAAATTTTCTTCATATTTCTACCTATTAATTACATTTTAATTTGATACTAAGGCGAGATTTACAAACTTGTTATTATTAAATGCACTGGCAAAAAACCTGCCACCTAAAATTTTGGAAAATTTTAATGGTCAAGAACTTTTGTAATCTTTATAAGTTCTAATTATATAATGAGCATATTATAAAGAGTAGTGAACCAAAATAATGTTCTGGTGTGTAGTTTCAAACAACCTGTGGAGTAATTAGGAAACTTGCAATTCCTCAACATCAAATTTTAAATCTTGTCGAGGTTCAAATTTGTAGTGGTAATAGTACATATTCCGCAGAATCAGGAATTATTACTTTTTTAATCAAATGGACAATTAAGCTATGTGATTTACAAAATGTACTTAAATTCTTGTTTATGCCACCACTAGGCAGCTCCCAAACTCGAATACATGTGCGTACTTATCACTGTATGAACTAACAGAGAAGCAAAGGGTCAAACTGCAATGCACTGAAGAATTTTGTAAAAACAGATTGTTTTTGTATGACTTTGCAACATGTTATTATGAAGTCATATCTTTTTGTCAATATCGGCAAGTCGTAGTAAACATTCTCAAGAACTTTTAAAAAATTTATATTTTTTGTTTTTTGCACGATTTATTAAATATTTAATACTGGTTGTGCACGGTAGGTATACGTTACTAATTGTAAGTAAAACTAATTCATATTTTACAATAATTTTTACTATTTTGTAAAATGTTCATAATAAAAAAAATAAAACTAGGTACCAATCTAATAGATTTTAAATATTTTTTTAAATCATTTGTAATAAAAAGTGTTAAAAATTTTTTAAAGCACATATATAAACCAGCAAATTGATTCGAAGTAAACACTTTGATCTTTATTCAACTGCTTTGCGTATCCTTGGATTATCGTATTGTAAAAATTTAAAATATTCTCGTTTTTTACACACAACTGGCAAATATAGGAGGGTATCTGCGGAGTGAAAATAATACGCAGCCTGCTATGTGTATCTTACAATTTCGGCTCATATAAATTAGTTGATTTATATCTGTTTTAAAGCACTGTGTTTAGTTTGTGAATCTCAGTATTAATGACCTCTGACATTGATATAGTTTAAGTGAACTACTTAATATTAATCCACTTGATGTGATATGATATCATGGCACAAAGAGGGCCCAAAAAAAACATTTATGCAATGAAACCAAATGGGCCAGTATGTTACCACTACATTTTATTACATTTATTTTAGTTTTCAGTTTACCGATTTATGAGAAAGTGTACAGGCAATTTCAAGATTTTCTAAATAAAGTATTACATAGTTTTTACTGGAACCGAAATAGAAATTGTATAGCGCAATGTTGAGTTAAGTGTAGTTTTATTAAGTTATGGTTATTTATTTTAATGTTTAGTGATAGTATATTCTATTTAAGTCTTCATTGTTAAATGTCTGTGTGACGTTATAAAAAATATATGTATACGAGTCAAGAAATATGAGAATTGACAATAATGCATACCCTAGCTCCCAACAGAGTATGTGCTGACAACTAACAGGCATGTTTATTTGAGGTTATAGTAGCTTGTCCAGCAGAGTGGTATGAAAATTACAATATTTAAAAAACAATGTAATTTGAGAACACTTATGGTTTCCAAATGTCAAAGGTAGCCTCCATATAAATATGACCCCCATTCAAAGTTATATCATGTATATGCACCTCAGTAAGCAAACCACACTATCAAAATACACCTCTATTCTAATCTAACTGAAAGTACATTATATATAAATTTAAATTAGCAACTTATGTAACATTATTATTTTATTAATTAATTAGAAAAAATATATATTTACCTTTGTTTTCTGAGAGTTAGTAAATAGAAATTTTCTGACAATTAACAAAAGGAAATCTAACTCCTGATTTCTTTCATGAACTTCATCAATAATTATGTGGGTGAACTGGTTCAGTTGTTTATCATTAATAATTTTTTGTAATAACGTACCTGTTGTCATATATGTCAACAGTACATTAGGCGACGTTTTCTTTTCCAATCCAATCTGAAATATTTAAGGTAAAATTAATATATTTAAACACTGCAATTATTTATATTTTTTTCATATAAATAATACAAATAGATTAACTATTTGTAAACATTCAAACCTGATATCCACAAATAGTTCCCAACGTCCATGCTCTTTCTTCACAAACTCTTCTCGCAACATTAATGGTAGCTATTTTTCTAGGTTGTGTTACAGCTATATTACAATATGTATTTTTTTCTCTACAATAATCTAGAATATATTGTGGAACTTGTGTGGTTTTACCACATCCTGTGGGACCTTGTATGATCACAACATTGTCCACTTCAAGTAGGACAAGTATCTTAAAAAATTTATTTATAATTAATAAAAAAGCAGTGTTTTATTTTTGCTTACCTTTTGTTTGAATGAATCGATAGGCAATTCCCTTTTAATAAAAGGTTTTGTGAAATTGTAATTTGAATAAATATTAAAGGCATTATTCTTGTAATCAAATCCTTCTACCCCTTCAACATCACACAAATCCTGAGAACCCTAAAATGTAATAATAATCTGAGAATATTTTTCAATTAAAAAGAGAGAATATTTCAACAGCATTTTACTTATATAGTGAAAAGTAATGATGTCATAACTTATTTGTATTTATACATCTTTCAATGTAATGTCAAAAGCCTCTATTCATGAATAAAGGCCATTGCTATTAACCGCACGTTGGTTTACACTTGATATCTTGTTAATATCAGTACTATTTTACATTTTATCTACGCATAATATTGTAAAATATGGACGTGGAAATGATGATTATAACTGTTGCTGTTTACTTAATAAGTATGTATTAAATTAATTATATCCAGGGTGTTAATTAAGTATGTGCACAAATTGATCTTTGATTTTAAGACAAAAAGTTCTTTTAACAGGGATCCGCAACGCTCCTGTTTTCCAGATATAGGGCGTTAAAGTTTGAAAAAATGTAGAGATTTTATTAATATTTACTGAATAGTAAGAGCTATTTAATTAAAACAGACTAAATTTTACAGACTAAATGTTGCACGGGAGTTTTCCGCATAATCTAAAATAGATATAAGTTTATTTCTTACCTAAAATATTGAGGTCATTGTCTTTTGCTATACATTTTTATTAGTAGAGATTTTGAGAAATAATGGACGATTTTATCTATTTAAAACGTTTTTGAGTAAGAACTATCACAGAAATTCAAATTTAATAGTCACAATTTACAAAATGGGATATCCAATAAATTTCTTTTAAGGAAGTCGATTGCAAATTTCTAAAATTCACGAAGTAATTTATCACAAGTTATTATTCTTGATGGCAGTTAATTACTTTATTATTTATGTTGAAAAAGAGCTAGTGATGACTAATAAAATAATTGGTTTGGGAAAACCATTTGGAATAAAATAAAAAGACGAGGAAACTTTTAAAAACTAAATAAAAAAATTGCATTTAAACATAAATGCAATTTTTATACCAAGTGTCATTTAAATTAGAAAAAGCATTTTAAAGGATGTTTAGAAATTTTTTTTATGTTTTACGAACTTGACACCCTCTAGTGGCTAAACAAAATGACACTGGAGGTGGATTGTCTCAATTTAAAGAATCTGTGACAGTTCCTTGTACATGAAACATTGAGGCTCCCTGTACATCGTCTGATTTTCTTACCTCACCATATTTTTTCCCAGTTCCATCTGTGGAGAACTGAGCATATTTTCCCATTTCTTCCTTAACAAAGGCTTGTTCATACTGGGTACACTCCCCATCATCGTCACTTTCTGAAGAACTGTATTCATCATCAGAGTTAATACCCATAACACCATTGACAGCTGCTGTTGGCACAGTGAGTTTTTTGTCATAGATTTCCATTAACTTATTCATTTTGACCCTGAAATATTTTACATTACTACAATTTAGACTACAATCACTCGAAATTCAAATAGGTAACCAAAGGTTAAGTAAAGCTTTACCGTTTAATATAAGTACATATATTTAAAGAAAGTATAAGTACATTAATTTTAGAATTCCTTGTTTTTTTTTAAGTTTCTGTAACAATAATGGTTAGTGCTCCTCAGAACTTATTATTTATATCAAATTTTTAGATTAATTGCAATAGCAGTAGCAAACTGTAAGTAATAGCATTGAAAATCTTTTAGTACCCAATTTTTATTTGATTTACTGTGGCATCCTTTATATACAGTATGTCCATGGTTAGAGTGGAAAAGAGGAAAAATATTTTCATTTTTCATTACGAGAAAAAAGCATTCTTTAATAAAATTTTTACTTGTCTTTAAAATGCGGTTGGCATGGAGAACTTTCATCCTGCATGTTCAGGGTGATCAAAAAATCGATAAATATAAAAATCGTTCAAGAATAAACTACCTTTCTTTTTAACAATACAGAAATATGTTACTAAGAAAAGTTGCTTGGAATTGAAATTTATATTATAATTTCAATGTGTGTATGAATCTTCTTACTTTGATAGAAATGGGCAGTAAAACATTTTTATTTTTCATTTTAGGAGAAAAAGACATGCTTGATTAAAATTTCTCATGTCTTTAAAATATGGTTGGCATGGAGAACTTTTATCTTGCATATACAAGGTGATCAGAAAATCGATAAATATAAAAATCGTTCAAGAATAAACTGCCTTTGTTTTTAACAATACAGAAATATAAATGTTATTACGAAAAGTTGCTTAAAATTGAAATTTATATTATAATTTAAATTTGTGTATGAATCGGCCTACTTTGTGATAATACCAATCCTCATTTTAGAATATCGTCCAGACGTCAATAATTTCAAAAAGTAAATGTTTGGTGCAATATTTCTTACCATGGACCATATTTTTTTGAAAGCACTTGTAATAGAAATAGTTACATATGCTTGAAACTTATTTTAGTGGTAAATTGGATTACCTACCTTTGGATTATTTCAATTCATTTTATTTTCAATGTGATGGCTGTCCAGCTCATTCTTCGACTAACGTACAGTGGTTAAATGACAAGTTTTCCAAAAAGTGGATCAGACGACATGGTTCGATTCAGTGGCCACCGCGTAGGCCAGATTTAACAATTTTAGATTTTTATTTAAGGGGTAGATTAAAACAAATTGTATACAGCAAGCCTTTAGACAATAACATTAATATGTTAAAAGAGCGCATTAGGGAAGCTGTTCAGTCAATAACTTTACTGGAGATTAGGAGAAGTTTCCAAGAACTTATTTATCAAATTGAAAAGTGCGCGAACCATGGTGGAGGTGTGTTGGAATAATTCTAAACTTTTAATAACAATTTTCTCAATTTAAAATAAGTGCAGTTAGTTATTAGTGTTATTTTATATTATAGTAAGATATTAGTGTGCCTATATTTTCCTTAAGTGTGTGAATTGCTAAGTACAAACTAAGAAACAAATATAATTTATTATGTCTCTCTTATTTTAAAGACAAGCAAAAATTTTAATCAAGAATTTTGTAAAATAAACAATAACAATGTTTTTATTACTCATGACGGATAAGTCCTATATTTTTACATATTTTTTAGGTCCGTAACTAGCTATTTGACCACTCTATTTAATTGCGTGCGGTAATCTTACTTGTCACACGCGAATTGCCAATAAAACACGCAAAATTTAAATACCTACACACTCGAAAATATTATTTTTAAAAAGTGACATTTAAATAAAATAAAAAATAGTATGTGCAATTCGTGCAGTTGTCTATTGCCCACTTGAGCGGATAAGCGCTCAACTCTGCTCTCGTGGGCAATAGACAACTTACCGCACTTATTGCACAATATACTATTAACTGTCCGTTTCCAGTAGGCCGATTCATACACAAATTGAATAATAACATATTTCTGTATTGTTAAAAACAAAGTCAGTTTATTTCTTGAACGATTTTTATATTTATCGATTTTCTGATCACCCTGTACATGCAAGGTGAAAGTTCTCCATGCCAACCATATTTTAAAAACAAGAAAATTTTTAATCAAGAATGCATTTGTCTCGTAAAATGAACAATGAAAATGTTTTACTATCCGTTTCTATCAAAGTAAGCCGATTCATACACAAATTGAAATTATAATATAAATTTTAATTCCAAGCAACTTTTCTTAATAATGTATTTCTGTATTGTTAAAAACAACCGCATTTTAAAGACAAGCAAAAATTTTAATCAATCCTTTTTCTCGTAAAATGAAAAATAAAAATATTTCTCTTTTTTCCACTCTAACCTTGGACATACTGTAGATACTGTATTATAAAGAATGCAACTAGAATTTTTTGAAAAAATTTAATGGAAGATGTGATTCACTATTATGACAGAGCCTAGGACAGAGCACTCTTTATATGTTGCCAAAATACACCATTTGCCAGATAATAAAACATCTGAAAATAATGTATGATAATTATATTGCCAAAAGTGTCTACATATCAAGTTATTTTTGAACTAATAATTCAAATTATTGATTTTGTTTACCAGCTACATGTTTATAACTTTTTTGCTAATTTATGACGTAGAAGTTTGGATAGTCATTTTAGTTGTGTAAAATGTTTGCCTTGTGTCCTGTGCTTGTGTCTATGTAATTACATTATACAGGGTGTTTAGAAATGTTGCTACTATAGGTACTTCAGGGGCAGTTTCTTTGGATTAAAATAACCCGATTTAGGTACAATTTCTCAGATGTTACAGGCCTACAAGGAATATAACCAAATATAAAAAAAAAGTTTGTTTTTTACCTAAAACATGGAGGTTGCTAAAAACACATTATGAAATCTTGTCTTGCCATATCTTGAGAAAACGCATGTTTTTTCAAATATTACCTTACTAAAAATATACTTGTTACATGTCACTAAAATGCTCTGTTTTAAAGGAAAATAAACTTCAATTTTTTTTCAATTATGAACTATTTTTTTACAAAATTTGTAACTTTGTTTTATACAATTTGAATACATTTAAAAAATATTTTTTTGTACCCAAACCGCTCATTTAATAAAAATTCTACAAGAGGCCCAAAAACTTTTAAATGGTATCACCAATCAAATAAAAAATAGATATCATTATTGCCCGAAAGAGGAAAAGTTATGAACCAATATTATCACCATACATCGATTTTGTAGTTGTAATTTTTAAAAAACACTCTGTATAACACGAAAATGTGTAGATTGAAAGCAAAAGTTCACACCCCAAAAATAATCAAAATCGAATAATATGTATTCCTTATTTACAAAATTCAAAAAGTTTGGGGGCCATTTAGAGGCCAAACGAACCGATTTTGGATATAGGTGAATTAGCCTAAATCTGCCTATTTTGAGTCCACAAATATGTGGACTTCCGTTATACACGTTATTCTGGGACACCCTGTATAGGGAAAAAAACAACTGATAGTACCTTATTCCAATATTGGGCTACTTGAAAAAATTCTATACTATTTCATTGAAACAATCTTAAAAAGATAGTTGTATGAAAAAAATTAGGCAAAAACAAATATTTATTTGGAACTCTGTAACATTTTAAGGAAGCAAAATTGTAATAAAGTAACATGATCTACATCAGCTTATTTTCATCCCAGGAAGCTGTCGTGACCATGTTAATCTTATCATTAGGAATGCCGACTTTGCAGTTAGTATAGAAAACTTGATTATGTTAAAAATGTTTAAAACAGTAGATCCTATCTTAATTATATGCCATGGGTTCCAGTGGAGTTAGAATATAGTGATTAGAAGTAAGATACCTGAGTACTTATACCTTATTAAAGTCCAAAATCAGCTTAGTGATCCATTTGATCTCTGATATGACATTAGATATTTAATTACTAGAAGCATTCGAATAAACATTTTTTCTAATAAAATTACATTAATTTAAAATTATCTAGAAACTGTCGATTTAATATTTACTACGTATAAACAATCAAGTTTAAGTATACACACACAAAACTTAGAAATATATAATCAATATACACAAACACCAAAAAACAAAGCAAAAAAGGATTGCTTTCCTTTTAAAGGAACACCTAATAATAAATATCCAAAAACACAAACCAAACAAAATTAATAAAAATATGTCACCCTTGTAAAACAACAATACATATAAAATTTTAAAAAATATGAAACATACCTAAAGAAATATAATGTACTACCATAAATCTTTCATTTACCATGTTTTTTATTACTTTCAGTTCTTCAGCCCAAATTTATGTTTAACAGTTTCACCACAGTATAAAGCACAAAACAATTACATTACATATAAATCATAGACGAAGATTAAAATACGTATATAGTATAAAGAGAACAGTAGGGACCTATAATCTATGGTAGGGACAATAGTGGCACAGTGAACAGCATATCTACATGATAATTGATAACATAACATGAGCACAGCTTAATAATATACAGCTCGAAGATCCGTGTCGGCGTCTTTGATGTGGTGGTCGCCATTATTCCATGGCTAGAAATTGGCCTCAATGATTTGGGATCGAGGGGGATTAGCCCTCTTTATCCTGCCTCATCTCGTGTAGGCCTGGACAGCCTTCGTAGGTGGGCCCCATCCGTCGTCTACCTCGATCGCAAATGCGGCCGGTGTAGGCGCTTTGTGGGACCTCCTTTTGTCCTGGCTGGGCCCCGCCGGCTAGGGCCCTTTCTTCTGGCGCTCTTCTTGCTTCGCCGGCTCGTCTGTGTAAACCCCGGGGGGTTGTCATGTTTATGGTCGGGTAGGGTAGTGCGGCTATGCAGCCTGGGATGCGCTTTGCCCTTAAGCTAGCGCGGGAGGGGAGGGGTAAGGAGGGTATGGGGGTGTTTATGTGTGTGTGTGTGCGTGTCGTTGTCTCCGTTTCTTGATCCTGGCGGTCTCTGAAACAGAAAAGGTTAGCGGGCAGGGGCGGGGATGTCGGGTCAAAAAGTTGGTGTCTAGGTCTTTTGTGTTTGTCGGTCACGTCGGGTACGTAGTCAACGGCTTGCCTCATGTCTAGCGGCTACGTCAAACCGTTTCTCCGCGTTTTGTCTTATTGTCTGTGTAGCGTTTGTGTATTCTAAGTCTCGTAATATGTCGGAGTTTCTTACGTACCAGGGCGCGTCGGTGGCCGTGCAGTTCCTAGCGGGCAGCCGACCAGAGCACACGTGTTTTGTGAAAGTGTAGTGCAAGGAGCAAACCGTGGAGGCGTAGGNGGATTGCTTTCCTTTTAAAGGAACACCTAATAATAAATATCCAAAAACACAAACCAAACAAAATTAATAAAAATATGTCACCCTTGTAAAACAACAATACATATAAAATTTTAAAAAATATGAAACATACCTAAAGAAATATAATGTACTACCATAAATCTTTCATTTACCATGTTTTTTATTACTTTCAGTTCTTCAGCCCAAATTTATGTTTCACAGTTCCACCCAGAGACAATAGGTTCCACCACAGTATAAAGCACAAAACATATAATAATTATAATACGTATATATAAACAGAACAGTAGGGACAACAGTGGCACAGCTTAATATATATGAGCTGTGACAGTGGCATAACACTCATAACAGTGGACAGCGCCACGCGCCATTATTCCATGGCTAGAAATTGGCCTCAATGAATCGGGATCGAGGGGGATTATCACTCTTTATCCTGCCTCATCTCGTGGCCTGGACAGCCTTCGTGGGTGGGCCCCATCCGTCGTCTACGCTATCCGTGTGAGTGTGTCGCCGCGCCATTATTCCATGGCTAGAAATTCATTTTGTCCTGGCTGGGCCCCGCCGGCTAGGGCCCTTTCTTCTGGCGCTCTTCTTGCTTCGCCGGCTCGTCTGTGTAAACCCCGGGGGTAGTGTCGTCTACNCAGAGGGATGGGTGCAGGAATATATGGACTCAGACCCAGATGGAGTGCAAGCTACAGTCTGGGGGAGTTCCCTACCGTATTCCAAGCAGAAATTTTTGCGATAATGACGTGTCTGGCAGAGAATGTATGTAGAGGTTATAAACGTAAACTCATATATACAGGGCTTTCGTTAATGTCCGAGACCCACGTGACCAAATTGGTTGTCACTATCAATAAATTTAATTTTCTTAAGTTGGCTATTACGAAAAATTTCAAGTTTATGGACCCTAAACCAGCTGTCAGTCCAGAGGCGTCCACGGTACCGAGGCCGATAGTTTACGTCATTACGTTCTTATGCCAGTACGTTTTCCCTTGATTGTTTTTCTGATGTACCAACATTTTTACGTTTATTTGCTTTACTGACAACAGTTCTTTTCAGAACTACAGAATTTGTTTGTGTTTTTTACGTAAGTAAATAATTTATTTATTTTAAGGTTATGTTTCATATTTTTAGACTTCAAGTGTTTAAAAATGCCTTTTACACCTGAGCAACATGTCTATATTTTAAAGGCACATTTTTGGAGTGCCACGCGAAATCCAGATGGAATTTGGTCATATTCATTACAATCCTGTATTGATCAATTCACTGAAGTTTCCCTGATGTAGACGTTGATTATGACGTTTTTAGGAAGCACAAATCAATACTTGTCAAGAGATATGATGAAAAACATTGTATTTGTAAGGGGAAATCAACAGGCAGGCCAACAGTTTTAACTGAAAATGCAGTTGACGATATTCGACAACGTATGGAGCAGAGCCCTAAAAAATCTATCCCCCAGTTGTCTGCCCAAACAAGTATGCAGGTAGTTTTTATGTTACACACATTAAATACTTGACACTACATTTATAATTAACTTAAAAGCCTTAAAATTAATTTCTGTGTATTAATCTGAAATTCTCATAAGACGTTGTGAGAATGTTGCAGTGCTAACTACAGAGCAGAATCATGTAGATAAAATGAAGCAGCACAAATTTGAGACTGTTATATGTTGTAAAAAAATAAAAATTTTATATCGTTTAAAGATAACGTATGTACATTTCTGAATATTTGTTTTGTCGATAGGGTTCTCGGTGGGAACACGTCACAAGGCTTTAAAGAAGGAATTGCACATGCACCCATACAAAGTCTCTATTGTTCCTCAGTTGCATCCACCAGACTACTACCAACGAATACGGTATTGTGAATGGTTCAATGAAAATCTGAACAATGATTTATTGAATTTAACGTTTTTTTCTGACGAGGCATGGGTCCATCTATCAGGTTACATTAACAGCCAAAATTACGTGCGCTACAGAAAACCCACATGAGTTTATTGAAACTTGACTACATCCTCAAAAAATTGGTATATGTGTAGCCGTTTCAAGGAGGCGGATAATAGGACCAATTTTCTTTCGCGAAATGATAAATGGTGAAAGGTATAGGGGGATTTTACAACAAGCTTTAGAGCAAATGCATGATGACGAATTACGGTTTGGATATTTTCAACAAGATGGGGCACCAGCACACACTGCAGCAGAAACGGTTAGATATTTGGAAGAATTTTATGGGGATCGAATTATTAGTAGGGGATTGTGGCCTAGTCGAACCCCTGATCTTACACCTTTAGATTATTATCTCTTTAGATGTATAAAAAATAATATTTTCAAGCAGCGATCATGAAATGGAGGGTAAATTTATGTCTAGAAAATGAAGGAGGACATTTTGAACACCTTTTTTTAATAAAAACTAAACAAAATACCACTCACCAAAACACTTTTTAATTGTGCATTGAGAATGTTAACTTTGTTAACAAAACACAGCATCGGAAAAAGTAGAAGTGTTTTGGTGAGCGGTAAAATTATTTTCTGTTTTGTATCGACATCAAACGTTCCAAACCTATCCTAAGATAAACAAAACTATTGTGACTTATTTATATCCTCTACCTGTTAAAACTTCTAGTTTAAATTTGAACAAGTGTAAACAAGACTAATTTTTTACTTGGAACATAAAAATTTTATGGTAAGATGTATGCAATATGTAATAAATAAAATTTTTAATAAATATTAAATGTTCAACAATCAATTGTAAATTGTTTTTTTGAATTTGACTTATCCAGGTGTAAGCCGGATTTCTTCATTTCAGTTCTGAGTTAATGTAAATTTCTAAATTAATACATCAAAATAAACGGCTAAAATGACATCTTTCTTAAATTACCTTTTCCTTTGATAAAAATAAAATATCTACACCACTGGTGCTATAGACTGATTCAGTGTTTTAATTTTTATGGAATACCAATTTGTATTGGTAAATGTAATGTTGGTTGCCTATCGTCGCGGTCACATGGGTCTCAGACATTAATGGAAGCCCTGTATATTCTCTGATAGTCAAGCTGCAATTAAAGTTTGGGGCGCACACAAGATAAGTTCAAAACTGGTGTGGGATTGTTTACAAATGCTGACTGAAGGCCACCAACAATACAGTCAGACTGTGTTGGGTGCCAGGGCATAAAGGCATTTATGGAAATGAGAAAGCGGATGAACTTGCTACGAAGAGATCCGAAACAGAGTTCATTGGTCCCGAGCACAAATCGACTGAGACAGAACATAGGAAATACTGGACTTCAAGGCCAGGACATAGCCATTCTAAGGAGCTCATGGAGTATCCTTCGAAGAAAAGAGCGAATGATTTACTGAGCTTGAACAGAATCCGGCTCAGGAGAGTGACAGGACTTGTAACGGGACACTGTCACTTTAGGAAACATCTACTTAAGCTAAAGCTTGTAGACAGTCCGGTCTGCCGAGGATGTGAATCGGCGGATGAAACTTCTCTGCATATCCTGGGCGAGTGATCGGAATTTGCACGTAGCAGAATGGCGCTCCTTGGGAGACCCTATTTGGAACACAAGGAACTGAGAGAAGTGTCAGCAAGGAAGCTTTTGGACTTTGTAAAAAGGACAAATCTACTTCCTGAATAGGACTAGTAGTGGGACGCACAATAGGCCTAATCAGGCCGCAGTGCAATGGGACTTATTAGGACCAACCACTAGAAGTAGAAGAAGAATTCCAAATAAAGTTACACTAAAACACCTCCATATACAGGGCTGTGTAATTGCAGGAAACTAAAATGATTTTTCCCAAAAACTGAATATTTTAGTGACATGCAACAAATATACATTTGCCTTTTCTCAAAATCTCTACTTAAAAAAAAATATATGCAGGGTGTCCCAAAATAACATGTACAAGGGAAGATTACAGATTCTTGGACTGAAAATAGACAGATTTTGGCTAATTCACCTTTATCCGAAATCGTTTCGTTTGGCCGCTAGATGGCCTCAAAGTTTGCGAAAATTTTTTGAATTTTGTAAATAACTCGAATATGTATTAATCGATTTTGATTATTTTT